GATTACTCACCGTGCTCCAGAGCTCCCTCCCTGTGCCTCAGCTCCTTCCCGGAGGGACTGTCCCCATTCCCGGTGTCCCTTCCTGTCCCAGAGGGTCCTGCTCCAGAACCTGAGGGCTTTTCCCCATTTCCCGGGGTTTTCCCCCCATTTTTGAGTTCTTTTCCCAGTCCAGGGGGATTTCCTCCTTTCCCAGAGAGGCTTTTTCCAGAACCTGAGGGCTTTTCCCCATTTCCCGGGGTTTTCCCCCCATTTTTGAGTTCTTTTCCCAGTCCAGGGGGATTTCCTCCTTTCCCAGAGAGGCTTTTTCCAGTACCTGAGGTGTTTTCCCCATTTCCCAGGCTCCTTTCCCATTTCTCAGGGCTCTCTCTGCACTTCCCAAGTTTCTTCCCCACTTCCCCAGGTTTTTTTTCCCATTTTCTGGAGTTTTTCCCCTTTTCCCAAGGTTCTTTCCCTATTTCTCAGGGTTTTTTTCCTCCCATTTCCCAGGTCCTTTTCCCATTTCTTGGGATACTTTCCCCATTTCCAGGGGATTTTTCCCCATTTCCCAGGGCTCTTTCCCCATTTCCCAGCATCTTTTCCACATTTCCTGGAGTTTTCCCCCATTTCCCATGTTTTTCCCCCATTCCCCAGGGCTCTTTCCCATTTCCCAGATTTTCTCCCCATTTCCTATGTTTTTTCCCCATTTCCCAGGGGTTTTTTTTCTCCCATTTCCCGTGGTTTTTCCCCATTTCCCGTGTTTTTTCCCCATTTCCCGTGTTTTTTCCCCATTTCCCGTGTTTTTTCCCCATTTCCTGTGTTTTTTCCCCCATTCCCCAGGGCTCTCTCCCCATTTCACGGGGGTCTCCTCCATTTTTCCACTTTTTCCCAATCCCTGCATCACTTTTCCCATCTCCAAGAACCTTTCCCCGGTCCTTAAAGATTTTTTTCCCTCTCCCCATGCTCCCACCTCCCTCTCTCCAGCTTCCAGCCCCTCTCCCCATCCCAGTCACCCTTCCCCACCCCACTGGTTGCACTGGGATGTTTCCTGAGGAATCCAGACCGGGATTTGCTGTCGGGCTGGGGCTCTCACGATCCCATCGGGATCGGTTCCTTGCCGAATTCCAGGCGCACCGGAGCCAGCGCCACCGCCCGGGCGTCCCCTGTCCCGGTTAAGCCCGGGATAACTCCCGGAGCCGAGGGATCCCGTCGCCGTGTCCCGGTGCCTGCCGGGAGCCGCGGTACCCGGTGCCGGTTCATTCCCGGGTTTATTCCCGCCGGGAACGGAGGGAAACCGGCACCGGCACCGCGCGGTTTCCAAGGCAGTTTGGGGCAAGTGACCCCAAAATGAGGTCGGGCTGTGAGGGGTGGCGGTGTCCATCCTGTCCCTGAGTGTCCCATCCCCCCAGTGGTGCCCTGCTGGCTGTCCCTGACTGTCCCTGTCCCTGGGATGTCCTGGCAGTGGGCAGTTCCCATGCTGGCTGTCCCTGACTGTCCCTGTCCCTGTCCCTGTGCAGCAATGCCCTGGCAGCAGGCAGTGCTGTCCCTGACTGTCCCTGTCCCTGTGCAGGGATGCCCTGGCAGTGGCTGTCCCTGACTGTCCCTGCCCCTGTCCCCTCACAGGGATGCCCTGGCAGCAGGCAGTGCTGTCCCTGACTGTCCCTGTCCCTGTGCAGGGATGCCCTGGCAGCAGGCAGTGCTGTCCCTGACTGTCCCCGTCCCCTCACAGGGATGCCCTGGCAGCATGCAGTGCCCATGTTGGCTGTGCCTGACTGTCCCTGTCCCTGTCCCCTCACAGGGATGCCCTGGCAGCAGGCAGTGCTGTCCCTGACTGTCCCTGTCCCACACCGGGAAGCCCTGGGCGCCGGCAGTGGTGTCCCCGACCGTCCCTGTCCCTGTCCCCACGCAGGGATGCCCTGGCAGCAGGCAGTGCTGTCCCTGACTGTCCCTGTCCCCTCACAGGGATGCCCTGGCAGCAGGCAGTGCTGTCCCTGACTGTCCCTGTCCCCTCACAGGGATGCCCCGGCGGCGGGCGGTGCCTGCGCTGACCGCGCTGTGCCTGCAGAGCCTGGCCCAGCACATGCAGAGCCTCTGGGCCAAGGACTACAGCGACAACTACCTGGACGAGTACGAGTTCCGCTTCCTCGTGGGGCCCTTCAACGACCTGGGTGAGCTCGGGGGATGCCTCAGGCCACCGGGACCCCCTTGTGAGGGGCAGGGGGGGTCCCGGGCCTCGCTGACCCCCCTGTTCCCCCCCAGCCTGCGGGCTGGTGCAGGAGCTGCTGCAGCTGCTGGGGACGAGCCGGCGGCTGTCGCGGGCGGCGCTGCATCTGCTGCTGCTGCCACACCTGCGGCAGCTCAGCCTGCGGGCCTGCCCCGCCCTGGCCAACAACGCCCTGGGGCACCTCATCGTGCTGCGCTGCCAGGTGGGCAGAGGGCATGGGCTGGGACAGGGGTGACGTCTGTGGGGTTGGGAGTGCCCACCCTCCATGGGGTGACAGCGCTCTGGGAGTGCCACGGTGTGTGGGGCAGGGGGAGTGACCACCCTCTGAGGGGATGGGAGAGTGAGACAGGGGTGGCCATCCTTTGTGGGGTTTGGGGTGCCCACCTTCCATGGGGTAAGGGGGATAGAGCTTGGGGTGGGTGCTCGCCATCCGTGGGGCTGGGTGTGACAACTGGGGGAGCACGGCTGTGGGGCAGGGGGAGTTAGACTGGGTGTGACCCTCTCTAAGGGGATGGGAGAGTGAGACAGGGGTGCTCATCCATTGTGGGGTTTGGGGTGCCCACCTTCCATGGGGTAAGGGGGATAGAGCTTGGGGTGGGTGCTCGCCATCCGTGGGGCTGGGGATGCCCACCAGGGGAGCACGGCTGTGGGGCAGGGGGAGTTAGACTGGGTGTGACCCTCTCTAAGGGGATGGGAGAGTGAGACAGGGGTGCTCATCCATTGTGGGGTTTGGGGTGCCCACCTTCCATGGGGTAAGGGGGATAGAGCTTGGGGTGGGTGCTCGCCATCCGTGGGGCAGGGGGTGACAACACTTTGGGGGAGCAGGGCTGGGAGTGCCGTGGTCTATGGGGCAGGGGGAGTAAGGTTGGGTGTGACCCCCTCTAGGGGATGGGAGAGTGAGACAGAGGTGCCCATCCTTTGTGGGGTTTGGGGTGCCCACCTTCCATGGGGTAAGGGGGATAGAGCTTGGGGTGGGTGCTCGCCATCCGTGGGGCAGGGGGTGACAACCCTTTGGGGGAGCAGGGCTGGGAGCGCCGTGGTCTATGGGGCAGGGGGAGTAAGGTTGGGTGTGACCCCCTCTAGGGGATGGGAGAGTGAGACAGAGGTGCCCATCCTTTGTGGGGTTTGGGGTGCCCACCTTCCATGGGGCAAGGGGGGATAGAGCTTGGGGTGGGTGCTCGCCATCCGTGGGGCTGGGGATGCCCACCATCAGTGGGGCTGGGGGTGCCATCATCCATGTGCCAAGGGGTTGGGACAGGGGGAGCACACAGGGCCTGCCCACCCTCTCAGAGTCTTGAGTTGCAGGGGCCGAGAGTGGCACCCGTGCCCCCCTGCCCGCCCCACTGAGGCTCTCCCCGTGTGTGTGCAGGGCCTGAGCGTGCTGGACCTGGGCGGCTGCGGGCGGCTCTCGCCCTCCGTGCTGGTGGACCTGGCCGAGGGGCTGCCCCGCCTGAGCCGCCTGGGGCTGGCCCACACCCAGGCCAACATCCAGGTGCTCTCGGCCGTGGGCTCCTGCTGCCACCACCTGCGGGAGCTCGACGTGTCCGGCTGCAAGAAGGTGACGCCGCGCGCCCTGCGCCACCTGGGCTACGACCCGGTGGAGCGCAGCCCCGGCTGCCCCGCGCTCCGCGTCCTGCTGGCCCGCGACCTGCAGCACGCCGGGGACGGGGACGCGGTGGCTGCCGTGGCCTTCCTGCTGCTGGCCCTGCCGTGCCTGGAGGTGCTGGCGCACGGCGCCCTGCCGGATGCGCTCGGGCTGCTCCACTCGGGGCGGCTGGACGGCGCCGAGGACTCCGAGGGTTTCCCCTCGCTGGAGGAGCTGGCGCGGGGCCGGGGGGCCGCAGCGGAGGGAGCCCCGCTCACGCTGCCCCTGCGGCAGCTGGAGGAGGTGGCGGAGGACGCGCTGGGCGCCGTCCGCGCCGTGTGTCCCCAAGCCGAGGAGGTCAGCGCGTGGCTGGGGGACAGTCCCGGCCCCTCAGGGCTGCGGGAGCTGCCGGGCTGGAAGTGCCTGTCCCGGGTGACGCTGGGCTGCTCCGGGCGGCACGGCCGGGCGCTGGCAGAGGTGCTGCCCCTGGCACGGGGCCTGGGCGCCCGCCTGCGCGCCCTGACCCTGCACGGCTTCAGCTGCCGGGACCCTCTCTCGCTGCCCACCCTCCTCGCCAGCTGCCCCGGCCTGCAGAGCTTCGGCGCCGAGCTGGAAGTGCCGCCAGACCCCCACGCCTACCGCGAGCCCCCCGAGGAGGAGCCCCCCGCCCCGCCACCACGCTGGGCCACCGACCTCCTACCCCGGGGGCTGCCCCGGCTCCAGAGCTTCTCGCTGAGCCTGGCCGGGCCGGTGCCGGCGGCGCACGGGCCTGTGCTGAGCTCCACGCTGGCCTCGCTGCTGTGCGCGGCCCCGCGGCTGCAGACGCTGCGCCTGCTGGCCGTGCCCTTCCCGCTGGACTCGGTGCTGGAGCCGGCGCTGGCGGGGCCGGCGCTGCGGGAGCTGCGGGAGCTGTCGCTGGCCGAGAGCCGCGTGTCCCCCGGCACCGTGTGGCAGCTGCTGGGCTCCGAGGGGCCCCTGCGGCGCCTGGAGCTGTCCCGCTGCCCCGACATCCACCGGCGCGACTACGACAGCTTCCTGCAGGCCGTGAGGAAGCAGCGGCTGGACCTGGACATCACCTGGGAATAGCGCCGGGGTTTTTAATAAAAGCGTCACAGTCGCAGCTGGCCGGCGCCGTGATGTCCCCTGGGCAGCACAGGGGGAGCAGAGCGGCTTCCGTGTCCCCCTTGCCGCGCTGAGGGGTGACATCCCGGTGGCTCAGTCCTGCTCCGTGAGCCCCGTGAGCCGCTCCGATGCCTCCCAGAGCTTCCGTGCCAGCGCGGGGTCGCGGGCGGCCTCCGAGGGCAGCGCCAGCCGGCAGCTGCTGTCGAAGTATTTCCCGCTGATGCCCTCGGCTTCCTCCGAGACCGCGCAGAAGATGGTGCTGGCAGCGCCCTGCTCGGCCGACTGCGGGGGAACGGGGGTGAGGAGGGGTCTGGCACCTCCCGCCCACCCACCCCGCTGCCCCCGGCACGGGCAGGACCCGGCCCCGCTCACCTTCATGAAGGGGCGGAGGAGGACGAAGAGCGCCCGCACGGCCCAGCTGAAGTGGCGCATGATGCTGGTGCTCACCACGCCGGGGCTCAGCGCGTTGGCCGTCACCCCTGCCAGGCCACACCGTCAGCAGGGTCCCCAAATCCCTCGGGGAGAGCAGCAGGAGCAGCCCCCAGCCTGACCTCAGCCCGGGCTCTGCCACCAGAGCGAGTCTCTAACCCGTGTCGGACCCCCCAGCTCTGCCGGCAGCCCCCGGGATCTGCCACGGGAGCACAGCGAGTTGGGACAGGGAGTGTCCCCAGGGTGCCACGTGGCACGGCTGAGCCCGGCACGGCCCAGCACCCACCTGTGCCCTGCAGGCGCCGTGCCAGCTCGGCGGTGAAGAGCACGTTCATCAGCTTGGTGCTGCTGTAGGCGGCGTCGTGCCCGCCCGGGCGCCGCTGCCCCGTCAGGTACCCGCTGTCGGCCGTGCCCACGCTGTGCCGGAACGACGACACGTTGACCACTCTGGCGGGCGCCGAGGCCTTCAGGAGGTCTGTGCCAAGCAGGGGGTGAGCGAGGAGGAGTCCCCAGAGACCCCCCGAGTCCCCCAGCCCCTGCACTCACCCAGGAGCAGGTTGGTGAGCAGGAACGGGCCCAGGTAGTTGGTGACGAAGGTTTGCTCCAACCCCTCCGACGTGATGGCGAAGGGCAAACCTGAAAGGAGGGTGGGTGTGGAAACCCAGGGCACTGGGAATATTTCTCTGTCTGCTCTGGGGTGCCCTGACTTTGACTCTCATCCATGGAGAAAGATTCCCAGTCTTCAAGGTAGACCAGAATCTACTACAGCGTGAAATAGATTATAGAGAACAGTGTAGGTGTGTCACTTAGGTGGGAAATTTAGGTTTTGGGATTTTTAGCATGTTGTGGATGGGAGCAAGATGGAGGGCACAGGGTGTTGTCCTGGGCTTCTTCTTCATGGGTTTGGGTGGCATTTTGTAATTGAGCAGAAAAATCCGCATTGGGGGCTCTTTGGTATCAGTTATTGGGTGAAAAGGGGAAACAATCTAGGAGTCAGTTCTTAATTGGATGGTTTAGTCCTCAAAGACCTTGTAACAAGAGATTGTTGGCCATTCTGTGCCTTCTAACGACGAGCTGCCGAGCTCACAGCAGTGAGACTGATGAGAAATAACAAACACCCAAATCCAAACAAAATTACTGTCTCGAGCGCCTTCAATCCCAACCCAGACAAAACAAACCCAGACAGAACCCCCAGAGGTGGGCACTCCATGGGGACGGGCCGCTGGACCCCTTTGGGGCTGCAGGTTTTCCTTTCGTACCGGTGACACCGGCGTTGTTGACCAGCACGTCGAGGCGCGGCTCCTCGCGCAGCACGGCGCCGGCGAAGGCTCGCACCGAGGCCAGCGAGCCGGTGTCCAGCAGCCTCAGCAGCACCGCCGGGTTCCCGGTGAGCGCCCGGATCTCCTCCACGGCCGCCTGGCCCCGCTCCCGGCTCCGGCACGCCAGGATGGTGCGGGCGTTGCGGCGTGCCAGCTCCGTGGCCACGCATTTACCGATGCCTGCGGGATGCGGAGAGGGATGATCCCTGGCATGGGGTCCCTGGGATCAGTCCATGTCCCTGTGTCCCCGAGGTTTGGGCAGCCCCTGCCGCAGCCCAACAGTGGGAAACACGGGCTCTTGTTGTGACTGGAGCAGTGAAAGCTGGTCCGTTTACACGCTGCCCTGAAATACGCTTTTTTTGAGTTGTGTGTTCCAGAGCTGATTGGGCAATAGCAGGCTTAGGTGCTGGCAAAATATATGTGAATATTGATATTGCAAAGATACACTTCTGTCCAAAAGCTGAAGACTTGAAAACATCTGTGTTGTGTCCTCCGTAACACTCCTCCTTCCCTCTACTCCTTTTTACCTTTCATTTTTGTGTTTTCTTTGGGGTTGTTACGCTTTAGTAAGTGATAGCATTGTCTTCTCTGGGTATCTGATGGGAGCTTTTTTAGTCTTTAAATGTAAGAGTAAGGACTCATTAACAGCTGAGCATTGTCTTGCATTCCTGCACTCATAGTCATTGAATATTAAGAGAGATTTGGTCATAAGATACTCCTAAATAGTGGTTTAAGCAAGGTGTATGGATGTTGTTTTTCTCAGAATCAAATTTAACTCCTAACAGTATAGAAAAGTGGTAAAGTAATATTCCAGATATCTATGAAATGTTGAGTTTTCTAATTAAAAATTTTAAAATTAAATTAAAAATTTAAAGCCACCCAGCAGGAAATGATGGGCACCGGGGAGGGGATGGAGCCCACACGTGCGGGGTCGCTATGTCCCTGGGCACGTGTGGATATCCCAACCCCAGCCTGGGGGTCTCCAGCAGAGCCAGCCCGAGCCCATGGCAGTGGAACACGGGTGGGAGAAGTGACCCCATCCCTGGTGTGACATGGTGGCCGTGGTGGCCTTGTCCGTCAGTCACTAACAGTCCCGAGTCCAGCCTCGGGAGGTGGGCAGGGGCCACCGGGAGCACACTGTGAGTGCCCAGGGATGGCCACCAGCTTCTTCTGCAGCCGTTTGCACTCCCAAAGCAGGGACTGGCGCCCTGGCACAGCGACACCCGTGTCCCCTGCAGGTCACCCCGTGTCCCCGCCCCCGCTCACCGCTGTTGGCTCCGGTGACAATCACCGTCTTGCCCGTCAGGTCGGTGGGACACTTGCGGGGATCCCAGGGGCTTCTTCTCGTGGCGCAGAGCAGCAGGGCCAGCAGCAGGGCCAGCAGGAGCCACCCCGGGGGGCTCAGAGCCCCCAGCAGCTCCATGGCCGGCCGCGGGGTGGGGCTGGGGACAGAGGTCACAGCAGGACCTTTGCCCGGCCGGTGGCACGGCACGGCACGGCACGGCACGATCCCTCTGCTCCGTGAGCCGCTGGCAGCCGAGCAGGGACAGCAGAGTGGCTGGAGCGGGCAGGAGGGTGAGCCACGTGTCCCCTGTGCCACCACACTGTCCCCAGTGCCACCCTGTCAGGAAATGACAGCTCGTTTACTGCTCTTAGTAAGCTGTGGGTGCTGTAAAACCACACGGGCTTTTTTTTATTTTCTCCACCAACGATTTCTGCCGGTCCGCCCAGGCTGGACCCCAAACGATGTTTTGCACCCCAATGTTCCTCTGTGGTGTTGAGTAACGCGGCAGGAATTGCACCCACGCAAAAAAAAAAAAAAAAAATGGGGTCACAAATGGGGTGATCGGGGCGCGTCTCACCTGCTCCGGGGGCAGAGGGACATCCAGGGCGGGCCTGATTTTGGGGTTTCCTGTTCTGTAGGGCCGCCAGAGCGGACCCTCGATGAGCGCTGAATTAAGACCCGAGCGGTGAAACCAGCCTCACGCTAATTAGGAATGAAAGCCACGCCCACTCTCTCATCCTCTGCTAATGAGGGACCGAAATCCCCCGAGGCTTCACCTGGCGCCGAAACTATCCGAAAAACACGTCATCTCATGCTAATGAATGAAACCACGCCCACTCATCAATGCTAATGAGTGTCTCTATAAATGCAGCTCGGGGGACAGGTAAAGCTCCCTGTGTCACGCCGCTGTCCTTGGTGTCGCCTCGGTGTCGCCGGTGCCACCCCAGGGCTGCTCGCCCGCGCCACTTCGGACTCCCTGCAGCGCCGGGGCGGCTGCAGGAGGGGCGATGCCCACCAAAGTCCCCTTCGGGCAGTGCGGGGACACTGCAGGGCCGGAGCACGTCCCCGTGGGATGGCCCAGCGGGCGGGGACAGTCCCAGCGAGGGACACCGAACTGCGCCCGGGAAGGCAGAGGAGGCTCCGGGCCGGCTCCGTTCCCCAGGACGGCATCTCCCGGGGCGAAGCCACGCGTGTCACATCGCCCTTATTCCTCTTTTGGGGACAAAGGGGCTGCGGGGACCAGCCGCGTGCGGGTCCGGGCGCTGGTGGCACCGCGGGCGCAGCGCCCGGTGCTCCCCGGCCGGCTCCGCAAAACTCATTTTAAATCTTTTTATTTACTTCTGTTCTTTTCGGGAGCGCTAGCGTAGAGCCCCGAGCTCCGGGAGCGTCCCACGGTGCCACGCCCGGTGCCAGCCCCGGGACCGGCGAGACCCGGGGCGACGAGGATCCCTCCGGAGCCGGGACAGCCCCCGGGAGCTGCCGCGCTCCCAGCGCGTTTTCCGGCTCCTCCTCTGACTCTTTGTACTCCGAGAGCCGGCACTCCGGGTAGGGCAGGATGGGCTTCAGGTCGTCCTCCGCCTTCCTCAAGGCCTCGTCCCCCTGCTCGTCGTCGCCGTGCCCCGCCAGGGCCGGCCCGCGGCGCTCGCTGCCGCCCCAGCGCACGGTGACACCGGGTGCCAGGCGGACCGAGGCCAGCCAGGGGTCACAGAGCTGCGGCTCGGCCCTGGGGACCCGCCCGGCTCCCGGGAGCACCTGCACGGATCCCGGCAGGAGTAACCAGCTCCGCGAGGCTCCCGCCCGGCCCCGCTCGGGCTCGCCGCTCGCGTCCACCACCTTGACCTCGGGCAGCACCCAGCGGGTGGCACCGCGCCGGGCACCGAGCCTGGGCACGCCGGGGCTGCGGGAGGCTCTGCGCGGCTGGATGGACGGCACGCTGGAGAGGGAGGAGGAGGATGGCGGCCGTGCCTCTTGGTCGCCGACCTTCGCCGTGACCTCGCGGGGCTCCTGCGCTGCCGGTGCCGCGGGCTCCGAGGGCGCGGCCGGTGGCGGAGCCGGGGGCCGGGGCGCGGCCGGCGGGGGCCGGGAGGGTCGGAGGCTCCTCTCGGGGGCTCGGGAGGGTTGGCGGCCCCTCCTGGGGGGCTGGGGAGCCATGGTTGGCTTGCGGCGGGGCTGTCGTGGCCTCGGAGGAGCTGCGGCGGCTGCGGAGCGGGGCTGGCACGGCGGGCGGAACGGACCCGGTGTCGGTGCGGAGGTCGGGGTCCCCGTGGGGTGACACCGGGCTGGGGCTCAGCCCGAGGGGTCTCGGGGATCGGGGCACGGCTCACCTGGCCCGGGGGCACAGGGACACCCAGGGCGGTGTCCTGGCCGAGGGGACCTTCAGCGTGAGCTGCCACGGGGACATCTCCGGACGGGACCTGCCCGGGGGACGCAGGGACACCCCGGGCGGGAGCAGCGCCGGGGACCTCGCCGGGACGCACGGGCGGAATTTCGGCTGCCACGGAGAGATCCTCGGGCAGGTCCTGGCCGGGGACAGAGGGGACCCGCTGTGGGTGGCACCGCGGGTCCCACGGCTCGGGGGTGTCCGGGGGCTCGGGGAACCTCTCACCTCTTCCGAGGGCAGAGAGACGTCCACGACGGGGACAACGCCCGGTGTCCACGAGTCCCACAGGTGGGCTGGGGGCTCCTCGTCCTCCTTCCAGACTCCGTCCCGCTCGGGGTCCGGGTCCCCCTCGAGGTCCGGGTCCTCGTCGTCCCTCACCAGGAAGCGCCACTCCGCGACAAACAGCATGGCATCCCGCGCCCGCGACACCGCGAAGGGCACCCGCTGCGGGCACAGCGCTGAGAGCCCGCCCGCAACCCCCCAAAACCTCCCCAAATCGGCGAGGGGTCTCTCACCTGCCGAGCCACGGCCGCCTGCGCGCTCTCGGTCAGGACCCGCTCCAGGAGCTCGTCCAGGATGGGCCCCACGTCCAGCGGCTCCCGGGGCTCGGTGTCCGGGGACACGGCGGGCTCGGTCCGCCCGGAGCCTCGGGAGGCTCCCTTCTTGGACTGCCGCGGCTCGGCCCGGCCCGGCGTTCGGGACTTGTCCTGCTTCGATCTGCTGCCGGAGCCGCTGGGCTTCGCTTTCTGCGCGGGACAGACACAGCCGCGGCTGCCGCTGCCCGGCGGGGCCGCCCAGTGCGCCCCAGTACGGACCAGTACACGGCCCGCAGCCCAGCGTGGCCCCTCAGCGCATCCCAGTGCATCCGAGTGCATCCCAGTATAGCCCAGTGCCTCCCAGCTCATCCCAGTGCATCCGAGTGCATCCCAGTATAGCCCAGTGCCTCCCAGCTCATCCCAGTGCATCCGAGTGCATCCCAGTATAGCCCAGTGCCTCCCAGCTCATCCCAGTGCATCCGAGTGCATCCCAGTATAGCCCAGTGCCTCCCAGCTCATCCCAGTGCATCCGAGTGCATCCCAGTATAGCCCAGTGCCTCCCAGCTCATCCCAGTGCATCCGAGTGCATCCCAGTATAGCCCAGTGCCTCCCAGCTCATCCCAGTGCATCCGAGTGCATCCCAGTATAGCCCAGTGCCTCCCAGCTCATCCCAGTGCATCCGAGTGCATCCCAGTATAGCACAGTGCATCCCAGCTCATCCCAGTACATCCCAGTATAGCCCAGAGCCTCCCAGTATAGCCCAGCTCATCCCAGTGCACCCCAGTATAGCCCAGTACATCCCAGCCCACCTCAGCATGCCTTCCCAGCTCATCTCACTGTAGCTCACTACATCCCAGCTCATCCCAGTACACCCCAGTATATCCCAGTGTAGCCCAGTGCAGCCCAGTATAGCCCAGTACCACTCAGCCCACCCCAGCACAGCCCCCCAGCTCGTCCCAGTACATCCCAGTATAGCCCAGCACGGCCTCCCAACTCATCCCAGTATAGCCCAGTGCATCCCAGCTCATCCCAGTATAGCCCAGTACCTCCTAGCCCACTCCAGCATGGACCCCCAGCTCATCCCAGTACATCCCAGTATAGCTCAACACCTCCCAGCCCATCCCAGCATGGCCCCCCAGTATAGCCCAGTAGATCCCAGTATAGCCCAGTAGATCCCAGTATGGTCCAGCATGTCCCAGCCCACCCCAGCACAGCCCCCCAGCTCATCCCAGTGTATCCCAGTATATCCCAGTGTAGCCCAGTGCATCCCAGTATAGCCCAGTGCCTCCCAGCCCACCCCAGCATGGATCCCCAGCTCATCCCAGTGTATCCCAGTACATCCCAGCATATCCCAGCACACCCCAACTCCCCACATCCCCCAGCTCCTCCCAGCCAACCCCGCCCGCTCTGCCCCGTTTCGCCGCCTCCCAGTCCCTCCCGGTCCCTCCCATTCCCTCCCAGTCCCTCCCAGTTCTCCCAGTCCCTCCCAGTTCTCCCAGTCCCACCTCGGCCATCCCGCCCCTTCGGCGTCCCGGCCTCCACGGCAACGTGACGTAATCACCCGGCGCCGCCCGCCTTTGCGTCATCACGCCGCGACGCGTCTCCATGGCGGCGGCGAGCACCGGGTGAGCGGGGAGGGGAAACCGGGGGGCCCTGAGGGGAACCGGGACACTGAGGGGGAACGGACCTCGGGCAGGGCGGGGAGCTCGGGAAGGGCTCGGGGAGGGCGGGGGGTCCGTGAGGTGGGGCTGGGGTGGGGTCCCTGGCAGAGGAGCCTGGGCCGGGGGTTGTGGGGGGCGCTGGGAGGGGAGAGGGGTGGATCTGCCCCCAGCCCCTGGAGCTCTCGGGACCCCCTGGATCTGCCCCCAGCCCCCTGGAGCTCTCGGGACCCCCTTGGAGCAGCTCCCGGCTCCCTGGATCTCCCCTCCCCGTGTGGATCCATCCCCGGACCCACACCAGCCCCTCCTCAACCCGCCCCCATTCCCTCTCTATCCCCACCCGGCCGTGCCCCACGGTGCCCCGGCAGCCCCCCCGGCTGTGTCCCGGTACCCCGGCAGCCCCCGGCTGTGCCCCCCGGTGCCCCGGCAGCCCCCCCGGCTGTGCCCCCCGGTACCTCGGCAGCCCCCCGGCTGTGCCCCCCAGGCCGTACCGGCGGGAGCGGAGCCTGGCGCTGCGGAGCAGCAGCTCGGCGCTGTACAACAACCTGGCCGTGCTGTGCGGCCCCGCCCGGGCCCCGGCCTTCGGAGCCGTGCACGGCAGCAGCCTCAGCCTGCTGGCCGGCGAGGGGCCCCCCCGGCAGCTGCAGGCCAGGGGAGGGGGCTCTGCCCTCAGCACGCCCCTGCTGACCCAGGTGAGGGGCGGGCAGAGCCCGGGCTGGGCGCTGCTGGCGGCGGGCAGGGGGTGGCACACGGCCCTGGCACTGAAATGGGGCGGGGGGATTCGGGATGCTGCGGGGGCCAGAGTGTGGGGAGGGGAAAGGAGCCCCCTGAGGGGTCTGGGGGAAGCTGGGGGGGTCTGACCTGTGGGGACATCGAACACACCTGGGGGAGGGCACTGCCCCCTGGGAGGGGGGACTGGGGGCTCCAGGAGGGGTTTGGGGGGTTCCAGGAGGAGACTGGGGAGCTCTTGTTCCAGGAGAAAATTAGGGAGCTCGTGTTCCAGGAGGAGGAGTTTTGGGGGCTCCAGGAGGAAACTGAGGACCTCCTAGAGGAGTTTGGGGGGCTCCTGTTCCAGGGGTAGGAGTCTGGGGACTCCAGATGTAGGTTTGGGAGCTCCAGGAGGAGATTTGGGTGGGCTTCTGTTCCAGGAGGAGATTTGGGGGCTCTTGTTCCAGGAGAAGGGGTTTGGAGGGCTCCAGGAGTGGTCTGGGGGACTCCAGGAGAAAATCTGGGGGCTCCTGATCCAGGAGAAGGATTTGGGGGGCTCCAGGAGGAGATTGGGGGCTCCTGATCCAGGAGAAGGATTTGGGGGGCTCCAGGAGGAGATTGGGGGCTCCTGATCCAGGAGAAGGATTTGGAGGGCTCCAGGAGGAGATTGGGGGCTCCTGATCCAGGAGAAGGATTTGGGGGGCTCCAGGAGGAGATTTGGGGCTCCTCTTCCAGCAGAAGTTTGGGCTTCTCCAGTAGGAGGGTTTGAGAGCCTTCGGGAGGGGTTTTGGGGGTTCCCCACGGGAAGACCCCCAGGAGGTGGGGCTGGAGGGAGGATTTGGGGGTGCTGCCCCAGGAGGGGTCCCTCAGTGTCCCCTCTCTGTCCCCGCAGGCCGCGTGGTGCCAGCTCCCGGCGCGGGTGCTGCTGGTGCTCACGTCCCAGCGCGGGGTCCAGGTGAGGCCTGGGGGGCACTGGGGGGTCCTGGGGGTCCCCCTGTCCCCCCCAGAGTGTCCCAGCCTGTCCCTGGGTGGCAGATGTACGAGGCTGATGGCTCCACCATGGTGTTCTGGCACGCCCTGGATGTCCCCGAGCTGCCGGCAGGTGAGTCCCTCAGAGCCACCCCTGAGCCCGTCCCCAAGGGCTGCTAAATCCCCCCGGGGACGGGGACTCCACCCCTGCCAGGGTGGAAATTCCAGCCCTTTCCAGGAAGGAATGTTGCCAATATCCAACCTAAACCTCTCCTGGCACAGCTTGGGGCTGTTCCTGTCATCCTGTCCCTGTTCCCTGGCTGTCCCCTCCTGTCAGGGAGTTGTGCAGAGCCACAAAGTCCCCATTTGTCCAACCCTACTGTCAAACTTCAAAACTTTTCTATAAATCCATTTCCCACACCCCCTGATCTCCTTTTCTCCAGGCTGAGCCTTTCCCAGCTCCCTCAGCTGCTCCTGGGGCTCAGACCCTTCCCAGCTCCTGCACACCAGCACCTCAATATCTGCTTGTGGCAGGCCCAAACCTGTGCCAGGCCTGGGGTGTGACCCCAATTCCTGTCCCAGGGTGACACAAACCTGTTCCCTGTCCCAATTCCTGTCCCAGGGTGACACAAACCTGTTCCCTCTCCCAATTCCTGTCCCAGGGTGACACAAACCTGTTCCCTATCCCAGTTCCTGTCCTAGGGTGACACAAACCTGTTCCCTTCCCTAATTCCTGTCCCAGGGTGACACAAACCTGTTCCCTTCCCCAACTCCTGTCCCAGGGTGACACAAACCTGTTCCCCAATTCCTGTCCCAGGGTGACACAAACCTGTTCCCTGTCCCAGTTCCTGTCCCAGGGTGACACAAACCTGTTCCCTTCCAGCACATTCCGTGTTTGCCCGAGGCATCGCCGCTGCCGGCGGCCGCTTCGTCTGCGTGGGTGAGCCCGGGGCGTGGGCAGGGGGGTGGCCCTGGGCTGGCCCGGCCCTGCTGACCCCCCTGGCCCCACAGGGACGTCCTTTGGGGCCGTGCTGGTGTTTGACATCCCCCCAAAAGGGACCAACGTGACGCTGAGCGAGGTCCTGGAGCAGCACCGGGATCCCGTCACCGACATCGCGGCCGAGCAGGGCCAGGCCCCGGTACGGGGGGAGAGGGAGACCCCAAATGTCATCAGTGCCACCCCCTGCCGTGGCAGGGACACCTTCCACTGTCCCCGGTGGCTCCAGCCTGGCCTTCCAGGGATCCAGGCCTCCCCACCCTGACAGGGAAGGATTTCTTCCCAAAATCCCACCCAAATCTCCCCTTCTCCAGTGGGAAGCCATTCCCCGTGTCCTGTCACGCCATCCTTTGTCCCACATTCCTCCCATCTCTCCTGGAACCTCCTTAGGCACTGGAAGCTCACAGGGCAGGTCCCTGCAGACTCAGCAGCCAGTTTCCTCCCACTCAGCACTTTCCCTGATGAGTCACTGAACTTTCCTTGCTCTGGGTTCCCCAAGGAATTCATCCCCCAGATGCCATTCCCGAGCTGCCGTGTCACCGCGGGGACACGGAGCTCTTGTGTCAGTCCCCTCACAGCCCCCTGGGCTTTGCTCCGAGGGTTCCCAGGGCTGCACTGGGGCATTCCCAGGGCCGGGAGGAGCCGGGAATCCTCTCGGAGGGAGGGAGGGGTGCCCTGATTCTTCCTCGAAATCCACCCTGGCGTGGCAGCGTGGGCAGGGACGGACGAGTTCCAACGGAGCCGCCCCCGGGCGCTGCCGGCCCCGCTCCGGCCGGGACCTGTCAGCCTTTGAGGAGCTGTTCCAGCTTGTCCCGGTGCCATCCCAGAGCTGGGGACGCTGCCCGCTGTCCCTGAGCCATCTCTCCCCACAGGACGGGGCTGGGGACCTGGTGACAGCCGATGACTCCGGGACGCTCTGCCTCTGGAGCAGCGGGGAGGAGTTCACCCTGCTGGGGAAGATCCCGGGATCTGGGTGAGCCCCGGGGATCCCGCAGGCTGTTGGGCACGGGGAAGGGACAGCCCCGAGGTGGTGACACGTGGCCCCGTGTCCAGCTGCAGCTGCTCCTCGGTGGCGCTGTGGAACGGGATCGTGGCCGCGGGCTATGGGAACGGGCAGATCCGGCTGTGGGAGGCGGCGTCGGGGCGGATCCGCGCCCAGGTCAGCGCCCACGCCCGCTGGATCTACGCGCTCGACCTGGCACCGCTCAGCGGCAAGGTACGGGGGGGACGGGGTGACACCTGGAGTCACACCTGGAGTCACACCTGGAGTCACGCCTGGCGTCCCACGCTGGCATCCTGACCAATATCCCAACCTGCATCCCACCCCGACATCCACCTGGCATTCCAGCCTGACATCCCAGCCTGGCATTCCATCCAGAAGTCCCAGCCTGGCATTCCAACCTGACATCCCAGCCTGACATTCCAACCTGGCCTTCCAATCTGATATCCCTACCTGAAATCCCACCTGGCCTTCCATCCAGAAATCCCAACCTGGCATTTCAACCTGAAATCCCAGCCTGGCATTCCAACCTGACATCCCAGCCTGGAATTCCAACCAGGCTTTCCAACCTGATATCCCAACCTGGCCCTCCATCCAGAAATCCCAACCTGACATCCCAGCCTGGCATCACACCCTGACATCCCAGCCTGGCATTCCAACCTGGCATTCCATCCTTAAATCCCCAACCTGGCATCCCACCTGGCATTCCAACCTGAAATCCCAACCCCGGCATTCCATCAAGAAATCCCAACCTGAAATCCCAGGCTGGCATCCCACCTTGAATTCCATCCTGAAATCCCAACCTGGCCTTCCAACCTGAAATCCCAACCTGGCATCCCACTTGGCATTCCACCCTGGCATCCCGCCCCGGTGTCCCACCCTGCCGGTGGCACTGCCACCTCCGTGGTGTCCCCACGGTGCCGTGCTCCCCTGGCAGCTGCTCTCGGGTGCAGAGGATTCCTTTGTCCACGTCTGGAAGCTCAGCAGGGACCCGGACACCGATGACATCGAGGTCAGTCCGGGCTTGGGACGTGGACGGGGGACAGGGATGTGGCGCTTGGAGCTGTGAATTCCTGGAATTCCGTGTGGATGCGCTCGCCCCGCAGGTGCAGCACTGCCACGCCGAGCGTGTGACGGACACTCAGGTGTGCGGCGCCCGCTTCTGCGACCCCGCCGGGGACACCTTCGCTGTCACCGGCTACGACCTGAGCGAGATCCTCTGCTACGGCGCCGCCTGAGCCGGGAATGCCGGGA